TGGCCATTTCCTTATTCTTCACGAACTTCCTCCTTTATCTATTTTCTTTTATGATTTACAATCACGATAAAATTAGCTGCTGAACTGGCTAAAAAGTCTCGTAATCTCCGAAATCGCAGTTTTTTCTTGAGAGCGATCGCAAAAATGACCTGAGTGACCCTTTCGGAACGTTGGCGCCACCACCGCCTATCAGTTTTCTTCGATCGCTGTCCGGTGCTGACCATTGTTCCGCTTTCGTAGGCTACAAACTTCTTTTTTTCAGCATCCTTGATAAAAAATAAAGTTTTTTTCCTTGATATGGGTGAACTATGCGAATTCTTTTCTGAAATGTTTACTAGTTTCATAGACATCGAGCAAATAGATTTTGGAATTTTTAGAGCTATTTTTACAAATTTTATCAGGCAGCTCATTGTTAGTTGAGCAGTTTCCCTTTCGTTAACGCCTAGTTCTCGCAAATATTAATAAATCAATAAATACTGCTTTGAACAAAGTAATCCCAGTATCACCTTGTTCTACTTTTTTGCCCCCTTACCTTTAAACCTTAGGCGTTTGTTACCACACAAATCATTTCGATACCTTCAGAGATTTGGATGATTTGATGATTTGATGATCAAAGCTTTGAATATTTGAAGTGATTATTGCCCTAACTTGAAGATCACACATACAAAAAATTTCAAACTCTTTGGGAAACGCTGGAAACTGTCAGACGCTTTCTCTGTTGCTGTTCCGTCCCCTAACAAAAAGTAAAAATTTTTGAGCACAACATTTCTTCTTTTATCTGATCCAAATCTCTGTAGGTGCATTGACATAAAACACATCTTCCTATATATGCGCTGTCTAATGAAATATTAATTTCAGTGCCGTTATGAAGATTGAGAAAGTTCTGATTGCTGACGATATCGAGAAAGAATGCACTGATCTGTTGAAAGCTCACGGAATTGAAGTAAGTTTCGTTGATTGAATGATAAGCTCGGAACAATTAAATATTGAGCACGACAACATGAAAGAAGTACCTCTCTGTTCCACTGACACAAACTGCTTTATAGGTTACTGTGAAAACTAAACAAACTAACGACGAACTAAAACAATCTCTGGCAGCTCACGATGCTGTGATTGTTCGAAGTGCAACTAAGGTAAGTATTTTTGTCGTAATAAAACTCGGACTATTCAAAGTGAAAGTATTGAAATGAAAAACCTTGTGTTGCTTATTTTTATATTGAAAAAGGTGGATATCATGTAGTCTACTGAGTAGAACAATCATGAACAGACTAATTGAAGGAATTCTTCAAGAAACTCCAACAATTTCTTATTCCTGCTTGAGTCTACGGAAAGCAAGAGAGGAAAAATAATTTGGGCTTGCAGCATGAGATCATATTTGATTTAAGATGTCAACTTCAGAGCACAGTTTAAGCACTCGTGTAGAAAATCTGGCAAGTCCGGGCCGTAATAAT